GCCTTTCCGTTTCTGGTTGATTCTGACATCCTCATATGTGGAGTCTAATTGTAGTTGAAACGATAAGTGAGGGGGTGACCTCTTTCATATTTATTCCGTTGATAGTAATCGCTGCTTGTTATTGATGTGGTTATCGGTCGGTGGAAATCTTGATCACCTTTGTCTTTTCCGTATTCACTTGAAATTCCTGCCCGTTCTCCCAACACTTTCCTTCAACTTGTTTGTTTTCACCTGTTTATCATAGAATTTATGTGACACTTTCAGTTGATGAGTTCCATTCAGGACGAAAGCTTTACTGTTGTTTAATTCTAGCAAATATAATATTAAGATGATTATATCATTAGAAAATTTTAATTAATTCCTATAATACACGTGAATAGCAGTTAATTTCAGTTCACAGTAATTCACTGATTCATATTAATGAGATATTTCCGTCTATGCAGAATTTTGATTCTTAAATTGTCATAATGACATTTGAAAATTTGCATTTCACCTCTGCCTAACACAAAAGAAGTTAGAATTTTTTTTAAATTATCAAAATTAATTACCATCTTTTTTAACAGTTTTTTTTTTCATTTTACACCACTTTTGTTTTAATGGAAATCACTTCATAATGGCTTCTGTTAAATTAAATTTAAAAATATCTCTAGAGAGCATCAAAAGAGGGGAAGGGTGTAATTAATTTACACGTAACCGTCAATTTAGTGTACTTAACTTCCTTAGTTTCTTTTACAAATATAAATAGCTTATTAAGTGTTTTTTCAACTAACTTCAAATCTCCCTCCATTAGATTGGCGGCCTATTTGAAATATTGGAGCTACCGAAATACCGTCTTCTATAAAGAGCACTTTATTTCAAATGATAATAATAATTATATACAGAGTAGGAATTTTCAGTGTTTTTATATATATTACAACAATTTAGTTCCCTTTATAAATAAGTACATACATAAAATTTAGGAAAATAATAATAAAACCATGAAATACTGAAAGTTGGCGGAACATAATGAGTTGTAAGTAGATAATTTCAAAGACAATAAAAATAATAATAATAACAATCTTTACCTATAGTTTACAGTTCAGTTACGGATTTAAAAAATTTCTAAGTTCTTTTCTGATATCCATCTCTCTTCACGAAAACACGTGCTAAATATGGTATGATAGAATTTCCATACTTTGCTGCACAAGCGTAAATTCCAATGAAATATCTTCTGGTTTTAACCACACCAAAGATATACAAGACAAAAGTTGACTACAGAGACGATGTTCAGGAATAGACAAGATAACTTTAGCTAACTGCTTGCAAGAATTGAATTGAACTGCCAATTGACAATAATGTCGGTTAGTTTGGTCAAAGGTGCTAACCCACTAACCGTGCTTACAGCCTTCTTCAGTGTTCTACACAATATCAGAATTCCAGGGAAGAATAAGTATCAAGGAAGTTGAGTGGGTTGTATAAGAAAGTCTCAACTTCTTTATGTAATAAGTTAGACAGAAAATTTTCGTAGAAATCAACAGGATATGAGATGACCAACAGTGAATCGAAGAGAAACTGCTGTCGAGATGAGAGATATTCGATTTACTCCAATCCTGTCAGTGTCGTCAATATTACAAGAATTATAAGATTGAATCAGTTCACACAAGTCTTGTTTGCAACTGAAACTAAAATCAACAATATGACATTTAAATGGATTCGATTTAAGACCATTCAGGTGAAACCGCTTGTTAACTTCAGACAGAAATTTATTCATATATTCAAGAAGATTATTGGCGTATTTTTAATAAAGTTAGCTTTGAAAGAATACGGAAGGTCATGCATAAAGACAGAAAATGGGAGTCGAGAGAGTACAGCCAACGCCTTGAGGCACACCAGTTTCCGTTTCCAGCAACGAAGTGAGGCGCTTTCTATGTCGTTTTCTACCCGAAAAATAAGAAGACAGCTATCTTGATGCACCAAGATTCAGTGCGTACTGAAACCAGGTCGCTTAGTAAAAGTGGCCTAAGAACAGAGTTAAAAACTGCAGTGTAGTCGAAAAAGGAAGGCTAGAACAAACTTTTCACCTTTATGAAGACTTGAAACAATATTGGGGTGGAGTACAACGACAACATCTAAGGTGCTTCTACTGCGTTTTTTTAAGTAAACTGCATTGGGTCGCTAAGAGATTTCACGTAAGGTTTTAGGATATGAAAGATTTGTTTCTACCTTATTTTCAGAAATGGAGAGGTGATGGGAATCGACCTTAATTTAAGATCTAATCCAGAAGGTGATTTTGGTGAAGACACAACCTTTATTTCTTTCCAGTCAACACTAAGGTAGCCCAAATTTTAAGCAGGCCACTAGTATCTATACAAGTGGCTTACCAACGATCTAATTGACTTTAAAACCTTCAGGCTACCAAAATACTCGCTTCTATGAAGCATATACTGCTTCGAAATCCTCTGTTACCTCATATCGCGTAATTAGCAGAAGTTGAAATTCCCTGGCCATTGAAGTTCGTCCTAGTGGTTGAATGATTAACAGGCTAGCCTCATAACCTATGAGTTGTTAGTTCGATCTCTGTTGGAGTCATGAGTGCGTACTGGTGAAGGATGAAATGGTTATCCAGTAATCCTCGCTTTTCAATGGATCTTATGATAACGTCAGTCCTTTTAAAAAACTTTAAATCAATCTAACTAGTAGTCAGAGATTATACTGTTTCAGCTAGCATATTTAAAAGAAAAAACATTTCAGTATATCGCCTTCAAAGTGGATGGCAACTTGTGTTCTTGTGAACGTGCAAACATAAATCAAACGAGCCTACTTCGCTTTCCGAAAGCCGCATGAGGCTTGATACTTGAAGTTTCATTTGCATCGTTGTTGTTTTCATTGCTTGGAAGTCTCTAGTCTTATATCTACCCTCCCTTCTTTACTCAATTCGCTACTAATCAAATGAGGCTTAAGACTAGCACTGACGGAAAATCACAATCCGAATACGTAGATTATTGGAAAGCATTCTACTTCTGAACTACAGACACTTAAAAGCGAGGGAGTACTGGACGATTATTTCGACCCAGTTTGGGGCTCTTTACAACACGCAGCCATTGACGTCTAAATCCAGGATAAAATGCAGATGAATTTGAGATAAACGCTAAGGGGACTCCAGGAAGATCAGTAAGTGGAACCTAATTGGAAGCGACGAGTTGGGCTCGAGTACAAAGAGGAGAAGATGAGATTTAAAGGGCGATCGTGCAGTCAGCTAAAAAGGAACTCAAATTACAGTGAGAATTACTGATGTTTTGCTTAAACCCTACGCTGTACTTTCTTCTATTTGCTGCCATCCTCTTCGGCCGAGTTCACGATTGCCATAATCTCTCATTTCCTCCTCTCACGACCTCCTCCATCTCACGCTCTCACTGACGACCAACCGGCGGCTCCCCATTGGGATTCCATCCAAGGGCCTGGCACGCGATGTCATTTGACAGCCTCCTAAATTTATAACCAGTTCATCTCCATTTTCTGCCATCAGCTCTTGGTTAAACCGCTCATTGCCAGAAATTTTGCTGCTTATTATTCCTGGTCAGCCATTTGATCTTCAGTATGGAGAGAAGGCAGCTGTTGATGAAAGTCTGCAGTAGTCTGTTGAAAATCATTTGGGTGACACATACACTGCAAGTTTAGGACCCGTATAGAAAAACTGACTGACTTTACATTGTGTTTAAAATCTCTCTGTGTTGTTCTTTATTCTGACGAGTGAAGTGCAGAAGATTTCCAAACTAGTTTCAAGTTGATGAAGGTGTATCTTAACTTTCCGATTCTGGCCAATATATCTTCATCCTTTCTGCCTGTAGTTGAAACGAGATTGCAGTCCTCTTTAGCTAGGTCCACTTATACCCCATAGGCTCTGGTCTTCTTCTCACTCGATCTCCCCGTGTCAACCCCACATCAGATCCAAACTTGTTGTTTCCCATTCAGATTCTACTCAGGGGCATGACATGTGATCTCATTCATAAGTCTCCCAACATATATCTCGACCATCTCCTATTTCTTCTGAACATTTCATGGGCCTTGACTGATTCGTTTCCAAAGTTTCTCGCTGTCAGTTATTTCCAGCCAGTGATCTAATCTTCATTATGAAGCCAGCAAGGGCAGATATTAATGAAAGTTTCACGCCCAGGACAGTTTAATAACCTACACTGAAAAAGTGACTGACTTAAAAACGATGTTGAAAATTCGAATTTTGTTGTTTGTACTGAGGCGTGCAGAAGACTTCTCAAACTAATTTCAGCGTGATGAACGCCTCCTGTCTTGCATTCCTGATGAAACCTTGTATTTTACAAGCTCATTTATATATCGGGAGGCTACATAAGGAGACACTCTGCTTGGATAAGTGAAGGAAGTGACGTCTTTTAAATTTCTCCCGTTGAGAGTAATTGCTGATTCTTCTTCTTAGCTGATTATCACCTCCGTCTTCTCTATTATTCAATTATTATTGTTGTCTCCTTTAGTTCCTAGAGGAACATTCAGCTTCAGCCGCACATCTCCACTACGTTCGGTTCTCTGCCAATGTTTTCACCTGGCTCCAGATCTGCCCATATGCTTTCATCCCCTCCTCTTCACATGACCTCCTCTGTGTCAACCTCTCACTGACGACCATGTGTCTCGTGTCGGTTCTCATCAAGTCATTCTCTTGAATCATGTCTGGTCGTGGTAAAGGGGGTAAGGGATTGGGAAAAGAGGAGCAAAAAGGCATCGCAAGGTTCTCCGTGATAACATCCAAGGTATCACGAAGCCAGCTATCCGCCGTCTCGCTCGTCGTGGTGGTGTGAAGCGTATCTCTGGTTTGATCTACGAAGAGACTCGTGGTGTTCTCAAGGTGTTCTTGGAGAATGTGATCCACGACGCTGTGACGTACACAGAGCATGCGAAGAGGAAGACTGTGACAGCTATGGATGTTGTGTATGCATTGAAACGCCAGGGTCGTACTCTGTACGGTTTTGGTGGTCGTACGTACGTTTGGTACGTACGATTTTAACCTCAAAAGGGTTTCATTATTTTGCGTGGTTTATGGCTGTAACTCGCGTAGCGGTTATCTTGGGGGAAATACTAGATGAGGAGCAGAAACCATCGTTGGTAAAAGATGCCATTCCAGGTTTAACCAGCTGCCCATCGAATTTGCTTGCCAAGTTCCAGTCACATTTAAATGGATTAACAAGCAATCAGCAATGTTCACTGGAGTGCATCTTCTGTCATCAGAGTGAAGATTTCGAATTTCGAATACTGTGTCGTCCTTCATTGTCTGGAATTACATCACTTTTGACAAGTTACTTAGTCCCACGGAAAAAGCCTGACGTTGCCCTGAATGTTATCCTTATTTATGCTGGTTTATTGTTCGAGGGATCGGCTCATTGGTTGTTATCCAATTGTGTACTGACGCCTGCATTCTTAGTCGACTTCATTCATCATTTGTCGACGCTTCATCCTAAGTCGGATGATGCAGAAAATCAACCCTCTCCAAAACCCATTCGTCTTCATATTGGTATTGGAGGTGTTACATCTGCTGGGGAATGGCGTCAGTTGGTTAATACACCACCACAGTCTATTGGAGGTCATACATTCCAAGTAACAGTTAATCGTTGTCGTACAACAACAAAGGCTAAAGGAGCCCGTCCGGGCTCCACTCGAATGATGGACTGGAGCGGGATGGATGTGACTTGATGATGGTTTGTTTTCTCAGAGTTTGGTCAATCCAACTCCATTTCTTCCAATGTATTTCTCGTACAGTTGGTTTCTGCCGGGCCGGTTTTCTTCCAGAGAACCCTTACTATTGCTGATCTTTTCTGGCCGGCCATCTGATCTTGAGCGAGGTATTGAGCAAAGACACCTGTTGATGAAGGTCTGCCAAGTCTCTGGTCAGTAAAGTATGCATCACTGACTTCACGCTGGAGTTGAAAATCCCCAATCATATTTTCATTTTCATGCTGAGTGCTGTCGACCTCCACACAGACTTGAAAGTAATGAAAGCTTGACTTGCTTCCGCGATCCTCGCTGCTTTGATATCCTCGTCATTTCCATCCACCTGTAGTTGAAACAATGATTCTTACGTAGACAGGTGGGAAAGTAGGTGAATGAGGTTGCTCCTTTCAGGTGCCTCTCATTTATGTTGATTGTTGTCTGTTGTCTGCTGTTATTTGCAGTTGCTGTTGGCCAGGAATCTTCATCACTTACCTCTGTTTTCTCTATGTTCACTTGAAGTGAAGTCCTATCTTTGATGTTTCTTCTATCGCCAACTTGTTGCTTTTCTTTATGCTCATTTGAGAATCAGTTAATAATTGAATTTTTGCACAGAAAATTAAGGAATTTCTCCCTTTTTATATCTCATATTCAATCAAGAATAATTAATTCAAAATTCATTAACCTTATACGTGCTTTCAATGAAGTTATAATGCCAGAAGATGAAATTTAGACTGTAACTGAGTTACTAGCGATAACAACAACAACAATAATGGTGATTGATAATCCATCCTTCAAACTTACTCATAAACATTTTATCAAATTATACTGACAAGTTAAACGTTGAACACATAAAACAAATTGAGAAACTTAAAACAAGTAATTTGTTGAACAGACTTATCCGTTACGAAGCTTTTTAAAGGTTTACGTATATTCATGGAAAATTCCCATTTTAACATATAGAAAGAAAATCAAACACAAGCGATGATTCTGAGAGGAGACTCTTTTCAACGAAGAATTTGTTATCAACCTGCACAGTCGTATATATGCTTTATGTTCTCCTCTAACTAATATACTAAATGCTTCTTTCCGTGAAAACGTTGTACCTGTTCCATGGAAAGACATTAAAATAGTCCCTGTCCCTAAACCTGGCAATAGCAAGAACGTAAAGTTCAGACCCATCGCCATCACTTCCCCGTTTCTAAAGCTCATGGAAAAACTAGTACTTCTTAAACTCGAACCCTCCCTTAAAAGCTTCGAAGACCCCAAACAATTTGCCTACAGACAGGGTAGGAGTACTTTAGACGCTGCAGCCGTCTTACACAACAGTATTATCTCATCATTAGACAAAGGTGCCAAATATGTCCGCTGCACGTTTCTTGACTTTACTTCTGCTTTCGACTCTGTACCTAGAAGTCTCTTGCTAAATAAGCTCTCCATGACACAAACCGAGTCCTGGGTCACTAACTGGTTGCATTCCTACTTTTCAAACAGAATGCAGTACACCGTATACAAAGGCCAATCCTCCTCTGCTGTGCTCACAGAAGCTGGTGTCCCCCAAGGTGCTGTACTCTCCCCACTTCTCTTTTCTTTCTTTCTACATGACCTACCGTCTTCAAATGACATTAACTTTGTCAAATATGCTGATGACCTAACTGTGTCTTTACCTGTCAAATGTCAAAGTGACTGCTCTAAACTAAATGGCTTCTTATCGGAAATTAGCCAATGGTCCAAGGAAAACGGTCTAACCTTAAACCCCTCCAAATGCCAAACAGTTAATTTCACCCTTAGGCATAAATCTGACCTAAACAAACTGGTTAGCACTCACGAGGTGTGCAACATAGATGGCAGTGAAATAGAAACCAAGTCGGAAATTAAATACCTAGGCGTCACTCTATCTTCTGATCTTTCCTGGTCGTCTCATATCTTGACGATTTCCAAGAAAATATACCGTCTTACCTTCTACATCAAGAAGTTAAGACATTCTGGTGTAACCCAACCCTTACTCCTACAATTTGTTAACTCCCGTATTCTGCCTATTATTCTCTATTGCTCCCCCTTAGTCTTTCCTGGGCTATTGAAGAAAGACTATACCTTATTACGTAGGATGTTAAAGGTTGTCAGCAGGGTAAGCAGTTTGCCACTTAGCCAGCTTGTTAATATTCTGGTGGACAGGCATATGGACTCATGTGAAAAATGGGCGAAATCCATTTTATCTGACTCACAACACCCTCTACATTCACAACTCTCCCCATGTATCTCTTCAGGGAAAACAAGAAGCCTATATAGGAAACTATATGCCCGCACTAGTAAGTACAAAAACTCATCCATACCCTACCTAGCTCGTGTTCTGTGCGATAAAGAATGCATCAGGCATGAAACCTTTAACTTATTAAATAGTCAGTAGAACCAATGGATCTCGTCTTTCCAACTCACATCATTTATAGGTACAACGTTTTCTCGCTCTTCATTCTGTATTTATTTTTGTTATGTGCTGTTTTGTTTCTCTCTTCCTTGCAAACTCTACTTAAAACATTCTTGTTCGTTCTTTCACACTCTGTATATCTCGACCATTTTGCTATCGCTTACGCCAGTAAATATGCTAGTAGTATCTACTTTTCTAACACCTTCAAACACTTTAATTTTGGCTTTGCTACCGACATACTAATATGTTGTTGAGATAACTTTAATCTATGTAGAACTTTATTTATTGTTAATGTAAAAAACTGGATGCAATATTGTAGTAAAATGCTGAGAATTCCATTCTGTATCACAAGTACTGATTTGGAATAAAGCTTATGTTATGTTATGTTATGTTATGTTATGCAGTATATATGTATATATATATGGTTTTTAAGAAGTTACATCCGGTAAGGGAATTGAATCAAAGGTCTTAACACATGAAATAATAATAGTTGTATGAATGTCAAGTGGCAAAACAATTAATGTCATATATACAGTAATTCATAGAAAGGATATAACTTGGAAGGAGTGTGAAATTTTAGGATTAGTAGGCGAATCACATATCCCCTAACTCATGTACACTGAAACGTCACACTCTGAATTCCATCGATGCAGTGCGATCAAGACTACCTGAGCTATATATAGAGCAGAATATCTCAAAAAGCTCCCACGTTCTTTATGAATTATCTGAAGACAAGAGAACATCATTCGAAAACTACTCCAATATAGTAACAAAGAAAAGAAAAGATGATTTTATAATGAAATTAAACCAAAACTTAAAGTCCGTTACAAAAGAAACCGTCTTTCCTACTTGTCCAGACAAATACGTGTACAATTATTCTGATGTTTCACACTATCTCCAGTTCAAATGGAAATTTTAGCACTTGGACTTAAGTTTTGTGATGCAATGTCAAAAGTGAATGAACAGAACACGAAAGTCCAGTTCAAGAATTTAATCGACCAGACGAAAGATCTGGTCCTAATCTCATATTAGAATGCAGACCTTTTCAAATCAACTTTTTGAAATTGCTGCCTCGACTACATCAACAAAAAACCCAGCCTTCGTAACGTCCTTTCCAAAGAACACCTAAAGCATCTGAAAGAACTGAAGGATAATGAAAACTTGATCATCACACGACCAGATAAAGGCTCCGAAATCGTCTTGATGAACAAATCAGACTACCTAAGCAAACTCTCAGTGATACTATCTGATGATAAAAAGTTTCAAAAACAGTCTCCACACAAAGATCCCACCGAAAAGACGGAGCTCCAGCTAACAAAGATATTGAAGAAAATGAAAGACGAATCCACTATCAGCTCAAAACTATACGAATAACTGCGCCTATCTGGTTCTACAACGCCGCGCATATAAGGCTTACCTAAAGTGCACAAACAAGACGTCCCACTCCGACCAATACTAGATATAATTGATTCCCCATATTATACACTCGTGAAATGGCTGGTGGAGATTCTCGGGCCAGTGAAAGAGAAGCTGTCAAGACACAACCTCCGTGACACATTCGACTTTGTTGATTTAATTAAGAATGTCAATGTGGCAGAAAAGAAAATGGTCTTCTTTGATGCCGTCTCTCTCTTCATCATCGTTCCATTGACAGAAACCATATGTTTTCTTTGTGACTACATTCAATCCAATAGCATCGATGTCGGTATACTGATCCATTACCTGAAAGAACTGTTACTACGATGCACCTTCAACGTATACTTTAGTTTCATCAAGGAAATATACAGGCAAGTAGATGGAGTAGCAATGAGTTCTCCCTTAGGACCCTTCCTAGTCGACTGCTTTATGGCTAGCTTAGAAACAATCCCTTATCACCAACTAACAACGACCTTCATCTCTACAAGAGATACATCGATGATACTTTGATTATTTGTGATGAGAATTGTGTTTGAAAATACCTTACTTCAAATCTTCAATAACACCCACACAAACGTCGACTTTACACTTGAGACTGAATCCGACAGAATGTTCCACATGGTTGACGAGCATTCTACTGCTAATTCATCGCAGACCTACTTTCTGTTACTTACGGTAATCGTAATACGTGGAATATCGTTCGAATATTCTAGTAGTAGTAGTAGTAGTGGAGAATAAAATTCTCTTCTTGTGGAAAAAAGACAATTTTCTTCGCTGAATTCTTTGAAACAAAATTAATAACTAATTTTTTAAATGTTTGTTATTATTCCTATGGGTTCCGATTGGAACATAAAGTTCCTACAGATCATTACTGTTTCACCCTGTCCACCCCCCCCCCCGGTAGTGTTTTATAAATGGCTTTAAAATTACCCATAAGCTTTTATTCCCTCCTTACATGGTCTCCTCCATATCATCTTTGGAACTGAATCCAATTTGTGGTTTCTCATAAAAAGTTCCACTCCAGGATCTGGCATGTGATGAACACAAATGTACCATCAAGAACAATTTTCAGCCATGTCAAAGTCTCCACAATCATTGATCCTAAGGACAGCTTTTAATGCCATACTTAGACAAACCCAGAACC